ATGACAATTAGACTACTCTTCATATTAGTTCTAATCTTGTCTTTCATGAGATGACCAAACACATTGAGATTGACTGTCATTTCATTCGAGAAAAGATTATGTCTGAAGACATCAAGACTGAGTTTGTTAACTCAAGTGATACATTAACAAATATTTTTACGTATGCTCCAGCTTGAGGGAGAGTGTTAGATATTGTTTAGATATTGTTAACCACAATATCAAACAATATCTTCTATTTATTTTGTTTATTTTTTATTACTCTTTTAGTTGTACCTCTCTCTATTATAAATATATTACCCTATGTATGGTTTATACACAAGAGATATTAATCTCAAACCGTATTTCCTCTATATTCAACAATATACATTATTTATTTCATAAAATATAATATTTAAAAGGTTGAATTATTAACTTTGTATTTAATAAAAATATTAAATTACACCGTTATAAATTTAAAATTATTTAGAATTTAACATACATAATCATCAAATTTCATAAAGTAACGTTAAATTTAAAGATGTTATTTTTCTAAAATTGGCGTGGAACATTCAAGCCTTTCACACGCTTGGAACAAGGGATAGGCCACATTTACACCGCGTGTAAACAATGTGTAGTTGTATTATTTAATATTTTTTTATAAATTAATTAAACAAGTTTATAAATTCCATTAAAAAAAATTGATATTTAATAATATATGAGGATTAATTTAATGAAAATAATATATTATTAATAAATAATAAATAAATATAAAAAAGAAACGAAATAATAAAATTATAAATATATTAAATAAATTAGATAAAAACTATAAAATTTTTTAGAATAATGACTCTTTCCATTATAAGAATATCCGTCAACGTACATAATATTCTATTTTTTTATTTATTTTTGTATAATATATAATATTATATATATATATATATATATATATATTATGACTATAATTTTTTATTATAATAAAAACTAATTATGATTAATGGTAGCTTGATATGTAATTAATCAAAGTTAATAAATATTAAAGTCTAATTGAGTATTATTAATTATTAGTTTTTACGTACTATTATTTTGATAAAATTATTAATGTTTTAAGAAAATATGAACATGGTATTGATTACAGAAGGGGAGAGAGTCATGCTAATGGGTCAATAGGAAAGGTAAAGATTAGAGAATGTAAAAAAAGAATATAAAATTTGGAGCATTTCTTATACAAGTGGATGCTATAATTTGAATTTAACTTTTTGTGATATTGTTAATTCATGTTATGAAGTTACTTCGCTTTTTTTTACAGCATATTTATTGTCTATTTGAGTCCTCGCGGAACAGTATAAATTTTTTCAAGATAATATTTCAAACACCAAAACTAAGAGATACATTGATTCAGTTAACAATCTGAAAAAAAAAAAAAAAGGTAAAGACAGAGTGTAGAAATTTTCTTTGAAAAACTTGCTACTATACAATATTATAAAATATTAATATGTTTATCTTGTATGAAAATATTTATATATTAGCTTTAAGTCCAATTGTATGAATTTTTGTTATTATATATATATATATATATATATATATATATATATATATATATATATATATATATATATATATATATGTGTGTGTGTGTGTGTGTGTGTGTGTGTGTGTGTGAATATATTTAGGTTAGTTATTTAAGATCATATATTAGTAAAGATAATTTTTGACATATATAAATATATGTATAAAACATTATTGCACGAATGAATTATACTAAAACTTACTCTTATTGTTAACTTATTTTTAATCATTACATTGGATGAAAATAACAAAAAATGGAATAAAAAGTCAATTTAAAAAAAATATTGTTAAAAATAAATTAATGTCTTCCATCTCTCAATATAATTACAACTTCATTTAAAAAATTATAATTATATGATATAAAGGTATATTTTTAACATTAACATATTTATTAAATACTATGCTAACATACTTAAAAAATAAATTTAATAAAATACAATGAAGTTACGAATAAGCTAGAATTAAACTTATATGTAAAATTTGTAAGAAAAATCATTTTCCTAACGTGACTGGTTAAAATAAATGATTAGATAAAGTAACATATTATTTCATAAACTTAGGTTTGAGTTTAGATATTTGTCTTGGCTTAGTTAGATTTAGCACTCGTTAATATTTCAACCCAAGGAGAGTGGAGACCAACGAAAGTATGCCATAAAAACTTCCTACAATTGATTGTTCATCTGAACAGTACATAATGTTTAAATATCTTTCAATAATTGTTCTAATACCTCAAAAAATAGCGTAAATAAAGTTAATATTTTGAAGTAATGATTTTAGATTATACGTTGTGTGGATACTAACTTTAAGAACAATAGTTTCTATAAATGTTGTAATTAGAAGATTGTATTTTGACATTTTAGATAGCATTTAATGACTATTGTCCGGGTTTGAAAGGACACGGGAATATTGAACATTGGTAAAATATGTTTTATAGAAAAGAATAATTTAAAATATTGTTTTGTACTTTAAAAAAATGAGAAAAAGAAATAAAGAAAGGAAAAGAATGTGACATATTAAAATAAAATAAAATGTGTCTTAAATAAATAAAAAAATAAAAAGGATAGTTTATTAGTATACATAATGGAATGGGTATCATAATGAAAGGGAACTCCAAACCTACCTTATCTAACATCTGAGAGGTACAGTTTCATCTGCCAACCATATAACAAAGGCATTTACTGCTACTCGCCAGATCTGCTCCATTACACGCTAGCCCTAACGTGCGGGTTGTCTTGTCGTTTACATACATTTCAATTTTCAAACCTTCTCACTCTAAACTCCACAAACTGAACCACCGAATCCGTATTTTGTTTTTACTCATTAAACTTATCACCTTTAATCCAATAAATTCCACACAACCTTCTCATTATGATTAATAAAATGTAATAATTATAATTGTCCACGTACCCTAAGTTTCTAAAAACGTTACTTAATGTGTAATATATTCAGGACGGGTGTTTTTCTTTTTTCTTGTAAAAGGTAAGGTATCATTTTTTCTTTCTTCTTTGTACACGTTGTCGAGCAATAGAACTACAATGACCAAGCTTAAAAAAATCCGTAAATCTTAAGTAATCAACATAACCCAACTTCTCAATACAAAAATTGAGTTATACTAGTTTTAATTTATAATATATATGATTTTCTTTTTAAATGAGTTTGGACGGGCTTTCCTTTATTTAATTGGATTGCCCTCAACTCGATTTTGTCTTAATTTTCTCTTTATATATATATATAATTATTTTATTAATTTTAAAATTTTATTTATAAAATGTAGCTTAATTTATTTTACATGACCTTTAATTTATGATTTAACATATTATAAAATTGATATATTAAATCAGAGAATAAAAGTAATCTAATTTCGTCTCACTTATTTCAATTTTTAATGATTTACATTTAAATAAAATAATCCAATAAAAAATGAAATTAAAATTAGAATTATAAAAAAAATCGACTCGTCGATAATTGATTAATACAAGAAGTTTTTATTTCTAAAAGTATATATATATATATATATATATATATATATATATATATATATATATATATATATATAAGAATAGTATTTAAATCAATTTTATAAAATCAATGTCCTAATTTTAATTGAAGTTTTTTATTCTTAAGAAGAAATTTTTGTTTTCGATATTCTTAAACCATCTTAAAAAATTAAGAGATACATAATTAAATCTTACAAAATCGTTTTAATAAAATGATGGTTATACTTATATATATATATATATATATATATATATATATATATATATTATTTTTAATTAATATAAATATCAATATTTATTATCTATATTTTTTAATTATAGAAAATAATAATTTAGTTTATATATTAATGTAAAATATTTTAGATTAATATTTAATAGAAAACCATTCTCTTTATGATAAAATGGCCAATATATGTCGGAAAATATTTCAATAGATATATACATTAAATCATTGAATATAAAAGTAATTATATTAAGATCTATATTATTTATCATAACATTTAAAAATTTAATAAATAAAAATCCTTCATTAAATTTTACTATATTTTTTAATAATTTTTTATATTGTATTGCCGACTTGATTCAACTATGGTATGGTCCTTAAACAGTGGAGTGAATATGCTGGCATATTTTGTTCTAACATTAATATGTCATCCAATTAAATACCAATATTTAGATGTATGCCAATAATAATAATATTAAATACTTATTTATTAATAATATATTTTAGTATTTTAATAAAAATTAGGTTGAAAATTAAATTATATATTAGAATGAATCCAAATTATTTAATTTTAAAATATTGAAAAAAATAAAAAAATCAATAATTAAATTTTTATAAGAATTAAAACAATACAGTTTTGCGAGACTGTAAGGAGTAATAGTAATTCATGACTAAAATTGAGTTTTAAAATCTTTAATTTTTCTCAACACCATTTTCATACTAAGATTTCAATCACGAGGGGAACAAAGAAATCCTTTTCTTTTTCTTCCCCAAGAAATAGAATATATTAATTAAGAAATTTAATATCCCAGTTAGCAGAAGACAGGTGGGAGACTATTTTATTTTGTAGGCCTCAATATTCAATGCATGCTCAGCTGAGCTTATAAATACGTGATGGGAAGAGAGAATAAATTTTCAAGTTGTGGCTGAAACTCACAGATAGTGTTAGCAATTAAGAAAGGAAAGGATAAAGGAACACTTCATCCGTTGGTTGTTTCTCCTTTCTTTCTGCTGTTCTTTTTGGGTATTGGGTTGCTGATCTCTGCTGTTACACATTTTTTGGACTCCATCGTGTTTTAGTAAATACAGAAGAAAAAAAATACAAAAAGAAGTATATAGGTGCCTACAAGAAGTGTGTGGAGGAACATTTCCGTTTCGCAAGGGAAACGGTGCAATTTTTAGCAATATAACTCACAAGGTTTTGAAAAGTTTTAGTTACAATATAGTGCAGTGAAATGGGGGCTCCTTTATCAACATGGCCATGGGAGAACCTTGGAATATTCAAGGTACAGAAATCCTAGCTATGTGATGTGCATGTTGGTACTTTTTTCTTCGTTATCTTAATTCTGACATAGGTTATGTGTGTGATCTTAATTTGTTTTCCAATGGATATGTATACAGTATCTATTGTATGGGCCGTTTGTGGCGAAAGTCGTGTATGAATGGTTCTATAATGAGGAACACTCCTACTACAACCTCAGTTGGTGCCTTCATTTGCTTATACTAACTGGTCTCAGAGGTCTAATTCACGTGCTTTGGGGTTCTTATAGCCACATGCTTTTTCTCACCAGAAATCGACGGATTCTTCAGCAAGGTGTTGATTTCAAGCAGATTGACAAAGAATGGGACTGGTAAACAACTTGCAATGGATTTATTTCTCTCTCTTCTCCATTTGTTTAAATAAAATTACATTATGTTAAAAATGGTTTCATATGTACACCGTCACCTAATATATTTGTTCTTCAATCAGGGACAATTTCTTAATTCTTCAAGCACTAGTTGCCTCCATGGCCTGCTATATCTTCCCCTTTCTTCAGCATCTTCCTCTCTGGAACCTAAAAGGTCTTATTGTTACTTTGATTCTTCATGTGGGAGTCTCCGAGCCACTTTATTATTGGGTACATAAGAGGTTCCATGGAGACTATCTTTTCACCCATTATCATTCACTTCATCATTCATCTCCTGTACCAGAGTCTTTTACTGGTTAGAATCAAATATTTACCCTTCTTTACTTTAAGCCTCCTCTCATAGATTCAGATTTTGGATCTATCTGATTGTTCAAAAGGAAGATTAGTAGATGATTTCATGTTGAAACTTCATAATAACCTATACTCATTTTTCTAACCACTTGTTAATCTTGTGTTGGTTATTGAAATACGACTTGCTTTCCTACAGCTGGACATGGAACACTTTTGGAGCATCTTATTCTGACGGTAGTCATTGGAATCCCCATTCTTGGGGCTTCTTTGATGGGATATGGATCAGCAAGCTTGATATATCTTTATGTTTTGACTTTTGATTTCCTGAGATGCTTGGGCCACGGCAATGTTGAAATTGTTCCCCATCAGTTGTTCGAGAAATTCCCATTCCTTAGATATGTGATATACACACCAACGTAAGTTAATTTATTGCTGTTACGTCCGTAAGTTTCACATATAATTCACAGTTACTGGCATCACATATTTAATTGTCACACTTGTCACAAGAAAGCTCGCATTGATCTCTGTCAAATTTTTAAGAAGACATGTGAAAAGCATTTACTGTATGACCTAAATGCAAATGAAACCGTACCTGAATAGTTGTGGCACTTCAGGTTCTTTATGACATAGTTGAGTGTTGGTAGAGAAAACAAGTAAAGAATAATGGAGTTAGAACAAAGTTCATATAAATTAGTGGAACTGTAATTTTATATAATTACATGAAAATCCTTATTTTTATTTCCTATTTTATAAACCTTTCAAGCAAACATCAGTGATTACCTAAAGAATAATTCTGAGCTTCTATTTCTCTCCCTCTTTTCCATTGCAAACATACCATTAAGAGAGGGGGGTGGGAATAAAAGAACCCAAAGGTAACAGTGTAATAAGGTTCTCTCATGTGAAAAAGTTCTAGTAAACGAGTGGTCCACGAGAATTGAACTTCAACAAGTATTAGGAAACAAGTTGGAGGCAAACTGCTAAAGATGTTTGGCTTGAAACCCATTTAAAATCTGCCACATACTGTTTTTAGCTTTCTTCCATGTCTCGTTGCAACTGCTGAGAGAATAGACCTAAGTGAACATGCATTTCCTAAGTAGTGGTCCAGTCCAGCTATGAGTTCAAAACACGATTCTAGAGCTCCTTTTATGATGACGTCCATTTCTAAGCAGTTGTGAGTTGTATGTATGGTTCATTTCCTTTTTATGGTATGGTGCAGATATCACAGCCTACACCACTCTGACAAGGACTCTAATTTCTGCCTCTTTATGCCTCTCTTTGACGCACTAGGCAATACCCTCAACAGAAAATCATGGCAATCACACAAAATATTAAGTTCAGGTTCAGGTAAAGCTGTGCTGTGATTTAATGACTTCATCTAGTTTTTCTTTTGTTCATTTTGACTTCAATGCTTGATCGGCACTTAGTATCACAAACACCACTTCACAATAGCTGTATTTTGTGTTTTGAAGTAAAGTTTTACCATACACATTCCCACTTTTTGCGGAAGTGCTGATTACTTGTCAATTGTCATTGCAGGAAACAGTGACACGGTACCCCATTTTGTTTTCCTGGCTCATATTGTTGATGTGTCATCCTGTATGCATGTTCCATTCGTCCTGCGGTCCTTTGCTTCGTTACCGTACACACCATTGCACTTCTTGCTCTTCGGCTGGCCCGTTGCTTTTTTAGTTTTGCTAGCAATGTGGGTTTGGTCCAAGACCTTTTTAGTTAGTTTCTACAATCTTAGAGGCAGATTGCACCAGACATGGGTTGTACCTCGGTGTGGCTTTCAGGTAGGCCCATGCAAGTCAGAAAGTTGTACTCCCTTTTTCTTTTTCCTCCGTGAATATTGATTTTTCTTCTTTTTCCTCATTTTTTTTCAGTATTTCTTGCCATTTGCCACTGAGGGAATCAATAAGCAGATTGAGCAAGCTATCCTCAGGGCTGATAAAATTGGGGTTACAGTCATTAGCCTTGCTGCATTAAATAAGGTCTGACATATTGAACTTTTTCTCTTGCTACTTAATTGGCCCAGCATAGTAAATCGAACTTGGTTAATTTATTGAATCTGGCGTTTTCCGAGCGTAGTGGGTGAAGTTTTGAATGCATTGCGAGATGGTAGTAAGTACATTATAATTGCAGAATAGGAATGGTGGGTCACTTTGCAACTTCCGAAACAAATTACACATGGCCTCCCATTTTTGGTCCAGCTATGCATAAAGTGAAAGTAGTATAATTAAAGAGTTATTTTATTGAATGATCTTCCGCTTAGGATTTCTTAGAAATAGATACATGAATAACTCAACCTTATATCAAGGAATAACATTTTTTTTTGAGCGTATAACTAAATATATATGGTAATCCAATACCGATCCGATATCATAGGGAATAATAAGTAAAATAAATTCTCCTAGGATAGACCTCAAACACCATATTAAAAATAAATAAGTGTTTAATTCAATCTTAGAAAACACCCATAAATAACCATATACAAAGAAGTGACTCTAAATAGTTATGTGTGGTCCTTAATGAGTGGAATAACATATTTAACAAATCTCGTTATGATACATTTTTATATTGTAGTAAGAATGATTATGTACCTAAAGGAATCTTCCAAAATCGACTTACAAAAAATAGGTTGCAATTCACTTATAATAAATATGACATAACTACCTTCTAACTACTCAAGTGTTGGCAAGTCCATGGTGTGTTGTGAAATAGTAATTTATGCACTTGGACCAGGTCCATGACAGATAAAATGTTTTATCATTCACTCAGCATTGTAGTATTATGGTCTCAAATTTGTTATTTAGTTACTAACTTGTATCATTACTCAATGAATGTAGAATGAATCGCTAAACGGTGGTGGAAAGCTTTTTGTGGACAAGCACCCAAATCTCAGGGTTCGAGTTGTTCATGGGAACACGTTAACCGCTGCTGTCATACTCAATGAAATCCCTCAAGATGTGAAAGAGGTGTTCCTAACGGGAGCTACTTCCAAGCTTGGAAGAGCAATTGCTCTCTACCTTTGCCAAAAGAAAGTCAAAGTTCTGGTAAGTTTTCTCACACTTACCATTTTCATTTCATTGTATTTTGCGTTGTACAGCATTTTTTTTTCGTTTATTTTCCTGCATTGGCTTCAAAAATTAATCAAATTGAACCATTAATAGTTGACATGCTATGTAATTTAGTCGCAACTTGCAAAGGAAAATGGTCTTTAACAGAAGTTCAATCATTGTGTTACACATCATAAACTAAATAAAAGTAAAAATCATTAAGGATGAGAAATTTTCTTTCAAGTGCTTTAGTTGAATTAGTGAGTAGTCATGGTACGGTGGTGGTAGAATACAAATTACAGAGGGGCAGATGAGAAAAATAATAGAACGAGATACAACTAGTGTTAACAGGTTAAATGTGTTGGAAAAATTTCATTTCTCCTTAATTATGTATGCACTTTTTTTTATTAATTTAATTTTTTAAATTAAAATAAGAAAAATTTCTAAATAAAGAAAGATAACGATAGAAGAATAAATACTATAGGAATATCAAAACAATTGCTTGGAGAAAGCATTCAAAAGTATCTAATTCAACCGTAACAGATGGTACAATATAAAATGAAATCGTAGTGCTGTGAAAATGGCACCTTTAATTGTTTGATTGATTGCAGGGGGACTATAGGTTCGGCCTAAAATGGCCGAATAGGGAGAAAATTAAATTATTGAAAGACATTATTAGGATAGTATTTACAGTGTTATTTTAGTTTTTGCTTAAACTTTCCTAAAGTATGATAATGACTTGTTGGGTCATTATTCAATTGTTGTCATCTGTTAGGATGTCTCTTACTCTTTCCTTGTGAATGAAATTTCAGAGTTATTTTTTAATATTCTGTCAAGCTCTTTTAATGGTGGATTCCTAGTATAGTAATATCAATTATGCATATAGATGCCGTGAAAATGAAATTGTGGTGTAGACGAATGGAACCGTTCATAGTTTGATTACAGGGTGGGGGTAGGCGCGGTGACCCTTTCAATCAATTATGCATATAAATTAATGAGACATAGTGTACTGTAATTTTTGTAGATAGACTCTAATTCTTGCAATGCTGATAATAGTGGGTAAATCTCATGAAGCGGAAGTGTCATGATGCTTGGTTTATTTAATCACCATTATTAATGCGCTGAGAGCTACTTTGCAGATGTTAACTCTTTCAACAGATAGATTTCAGAGGATCCAAAAGGAAGCCCCTCTTGAATATCAAAGTTATCTTGTCCAAGTGACAAAATACCAAGCTGCACAAAACTGCAAGGTACAACTATGCAAAGATCCTTCGCTAACATTGGAAAACTTTGCAAGTGACAAACTAGCATAATGTACTCCTTCACTATATATGGATCACTATTTACCCAAGTTATATGGTTATATGATCATTATTCAAAGACAAATTATTGTGTACCATGAATTTTACGTAGTGCTTACTTGTCTGAATGCAGACCTGGATCGTTGGTAAGTGGATAACACCAAGAGAGCAATATTGGGCACCACGTGGAACCCATTTTCATCAATTTGTTGTCCCACCCATTTTATCATTCAGAAAAGATTGCACTTATGGTGATCTGGCAGCCATGAGATTACCAGAAGACGTAGAAGGACTTGGTAGCTGTGAGGTGAGTGTTATCAACTTTAGCAGTATCTGTCTCGTCCCTTTCATTTTCTATTAATTGATATATACAATCAAGTTCTTATATTTATCATTAAGCAACTAATGACACTGTCATACATAGTATATCAGTTCAAAAATTTGTCTGATACATGCATGCATGAATGCAGTACACAATGGATAGGGGAGTGGTTCATGCTTGCCATGCGGGGGGAGTGGTACACAGCCTTGAAGGTTGGTCTCATCACGAAGTTGGAGCCATAGATGTTAACAGAATCGATCTTGTGTGGGAAGCAGCTCTCAAACATGGTCTAAGGCCAGTGTCAAGATCCACACAGTAAACGAAATTGAAAGTCTTCAGTCCAAAAGTGCCTTTCTCAAGTTGTTTCTTCTTGTTTTGGTGTATTAATTGCACATCACAGTCGCCACATTTGTGCTTATATATTCTTTGAAGTGGCTGTATTACATTTCTGATATTGCTTGTATGTTAAAATGATCACATCACATTCAGTGATTAATTCATGACATAAATTAATTAAGCCAAAGCAAGCTACCAAGTTCACAATATGATTGCCTACTTTTCTTCTTTACAAATTCATTGCTTTGTTATTTTAAAGATTTCCTTTTGTATTCACTTAGTGCATATGTCATCATAGAAAAGAAAATTAAGTAATGCAAAGAACAAAAACAAATAAATGTATTGAAAGAAAAATGTTTGTCCCACCTTTTCCAAATAGTGGAATGTTGATAAGTTGATACAAGTTTGTCTTTGTATGACCACATTTTGATCTTGAAATTCATGTAAATTCACACTTACTTCGATTACAATCTATAATATGAGACAAAATTGACTTTATTCATTTCTTTTATATATTAATCTAAATATTACATTTAGTTAAACTTTACAATAAAAATAGTATTAACACTTAAGTTAAAGAATGTTTTATAATATACATTTTAAAATATTTTTTTATAATATGATATAATACTATCTTATGCAAAATATTATTAATTAAACAATTTTTTCATCAATAAAAAGTTGTTAGAAAATTAAATTAGGTTGAGATAATCTGAAATTCAATTCAAACCTCTTAAATTGGTTCAATTAATAATTCATAAGTTGAGCACGCTTCTCCTTATATAAATTAGTTCCTGTACTAATTCTAAAAGAACATCAATTATTTTTAATAATGTTCTTATCTTTATTTTTTATTTTATGTAACTAAAAGGTGTGAAAGCAAGAGTGAAAATGAGGTGATGATGGGAAAGGGAGTGGTGTTATTAACAATAATTGTAACTTTGGTTATATATAGTTGTTAGCATTTATTTGAAATTGTGGTGTTAGTGATAATAAGTGATTCAATTATTATTTTATTTATTTATGAAAAGCTAACATGGACAGGTAGTTATTGGTTGGATTGTGGACAGCTCAACCTCAACAAAGCTGGCCAGTGACATTTTCAAGACTTTAATGCTTTTAAATTACCTGTGATTTATTAAGTGCTACCACTATCACTATACAATACTTCAAACTAATTAAAAAAAATGCCATTCATATATATACATATATATATATATATATATATATATATATATATATATATATAACAACTATTATAAAATCAATTATTTAATTCAAATTTTTATTTATGTTCATAAACAATTCGATTTGATAGTTTATTTTTTAAATTAATTTCGTTTAGTTTCTTCATTCCAATTAATTTTACATTTTAAATATATATATATATATATATATATATATATATATATATATATATATATATATATATTTCTTATATTTGAGTAAATTAATTTTTATTTTTTTAAGTTAAAAAATATGAATTTAGTCTTTTATCAACTTTATAACAGTTGAAAAAGTGTTACTGATATGAAATTTAAATATAAAAATGTTTAAACTTGCATCTTGTTTTTCTTTTATCAATTTTATTAGAATGAAAAGTTATAATTACATCTTAAATTTAAATATAAATATATGTTTATAAGTTAAAAAGAATAACTTGATCAATTTGAAAATATAAGGATTTAAAATATTTTTTTTAATATATAAAAAAATATTTTTTTCCAATTTATATATAGAAAAAAGGTTTTAACCCGTTAAAAAATAATGATAATTTGTTAGGTAACTAATTATTTTAATTAATAGCTGACAATTTATAATGTTATGAATTAGTTACTTTTTTTAATTGATAATTAAATCTGTCGTTAATAGTAATGTTAATAATTTAAAAAATTATAAGATCAAATCAAATCATTTAATAATAATTAGTGAAAATTAAAAATACAAGTGTTTTAACAATTGCGCTTTCCTGTTTTTTTTTTGTTTTATAATTAATTTTTTAAATATTATTTTGTTTTTTATCTTGACTTTTATGTCATGTATCATATTTCTCTCTCATATTTTTATTATATTTTAAATATATAAATTATAATAATTATTTGTATTTAAATTATAAAACTTTTTTTCTCAATTATTTAAATTACCTACTTTTTTAAAACTAAAATTACACTTCTCATTTTTTTTATTATATTATAATTTATAATACATTTTTTCCAATGACATAAAAAAAACAATTACAAAATAATTCTCTTTTATATATTATTATAGACTATCAAATTAATAAAAAAATTTAAAAAATAATTAAGCTTTGATAAATTATTATTAAATAATACTAATATTAACACAACTTATTTTCTTTTTTCCCTGTCTATTTATTCACATGATAAGCGGGTAGAAAAGCATTGTACTACATAATTTACCTTAAGGACTTAAAATTTCCAACATTATATGCAGAATTTATCAAAATTGGTTGAGAGGTAAGAGTACATAGGCCAATCTAATTGGTTTAACTTAGTTTACTTTTGTTGTTATTTATTGCAATTTTCAAAGCATAAAATGTTCTTACTATTCTAACATTAAAAAAAAAATCTTGGAAACCAAACACAAAATAGTTAATACTTTACAAAATGATTTTATAATATTAGTAATAGTTTCTACTTACAAAAAGTCACTGTTATCAATAGCTGAATAATTTTCTTATGAAGTTAGTTAAATTCATTAAATTTTATAAAATTATAAATTATATGCAAGTAATAAATATTGGATTTATAACTTAAAGTATAGATTATTATATATTATTGTATAAAATTATATACATAAGAATACATCTAACATTTAGAATTTATAATAAGGTATACATATGTTGTAGTGTTTGAAAATATAATGATTTTTATTTATATTTTTTTAGTCACTAAATTTAGGAAAAAATGATGTAGTTTAAATATGCAAGAACAAAAAATGATTAAAAAAATTATTTACAATGACCAAAAATTAAAACTGTTTAAACCTATATAATAATTATTAAAACAGTAATTTGTTGGTTATATTAACTATCAAACGCTTTTGTTTGTCTGATAGAAGATTTTTTTTATATGTTAAATAATCATAATTTTTTAAGATATTAATATTATATATTCAAAGAAGAATAAAGATATTGCTAATAATTATTCCAAGGAGATTTAAAGAATAATATGATAGTAGTATATTATAGAAAATACAATATTCAACAAGTTTAAAATATAATAATTAATTTGTATTCAATGTTTTTATTTTTAATATTACTAATCAAATAAGTAAACCATCACGAACATTAGTAACTAAGAGTATATTTAGTTGAATGTTGTGTCAAACTCCTTAAAATTCTTTAATACTAGTATTCAATTTTAATAATAATAATAATAATAATAATAATAATTTATTATTATTATTATTAAAAACTTTCGTATCAACTAGATATATGATAATATTATAGTATATATAATAATATTATTATTGTTGAATTAATTTTGTAGGATTAAGTTAGATATTTCATAATTTTTAAAATAGTATCGGAACCAATTTTAAAGTTGTCGAACAAAAATCGTTAATAATGATGAATTTGACCACCAGTTATTAAATCAATATTAAACTACTCATCCTCGATGTGAGATGGTGTGATAAAAAAATTCCTCCTCAATGTGAGGGGTTATGTTGAGAAATCACATGTCAACTAGATGTATGATAACATAATAGTATATAAGTGAGTATAATCTTTATCTTATTGAGTCGGTTTTGTAAGGATGAATTATCTCATTATTTTTAAGATAATTTAATAGGTTATGTGGAAGAACATCAAAGATATTATAAGAGAAATCTTAACCATAAAACTTCACTTCAAGTCTCAAACCTATAAACTCAGCTTCTACGCTTAATTGAGAGACCACACTTTATTTTTTTTCTTTTCCATTTAACATGATTACCACCAACAAATGTAAAATAACCTGATGTTGATTGTCTATATTCTAATGATCTAGTCCAATACTTAATGTGTAGGAAAAATTTGTTTTTGTGTGCGCTAAGTATATCAATTTTTCTATTGATATCTCAATTTATCAAGCAAGACTTGATATAATATAATAAATTATAACAAGTCTAAGACATATTTTTTAAGACAAATAATTCTTTTTAAGATCGAGATATTAAATCCCAAAAAATATTTTGAGGATCAAAATATTTTATTTTAAACTCTTTTGATAATAAGTGTAATTATCTTACCTTCTTATTTTTTAGGAATAAAGTGAGGTCTGAATTACTTTGATGATATTCAAATGTTGTCATAAATTTTGTAAACCTTTCAGATTATGGTCGTAGAAATTATTTTAATCTATACAAAGATTTTTCCAATTTGCATATATTTCCATTATATTTTTCAAGTCCCCTTCAACTTAGTGAGAGTTTCATGTATACTTCTTTATTTAATCCCCTCTTAAGTGGTAAAAAGTTGATATAATTATGCCTTGAATTGTTATGAAACCACTTAACTTATGTTAATTCTAATATATTTTTCTCCCAATATAGGATGAATTCGAGAATACCTTGATACAAGAGTAAGGAGCATAATTGTCAACATAATTAGAGTAAAATTGAAAGAAAGAAGAGCGCTTAAGCGAATGAATGATGCGAGGCCCGACCCAAATTCTCTTATAAAAAGATAAGTTGTGTTTTTAGAAAAGCAAGCAGTCTTGGAGGAGAGGAGGCACGACTACTGTTAGGTTTTGTCTAATCTTCATCAATTCTTCACTTGATCAATTGGAGCATTGTAATGACCAACATGAGTGACTAATTTCATTCTCTTAGGATTCAGTGCACTTCCTTTGAACTCTTTTGTATCATGGTGATATTTTGAGATATTAATCTATGTTTTGATGTTGTTATTCTTATCCTTTATGCTTTGGAATGATTTATTCTTGATTGTTTGAGGTATGATTGAAAAATATATCTTGA